TTCCTCAAAATCAAATTTTATAATTTTTCGAAGAACCGAGATTTCTTAGACGATTACAGGTACGGGAAAAGGTCTTCCGAATTAACAATCGATGCACTTTTTTTCTTCTCTATGTAACTCTGTAGTCGTGCTGTAAAAATGTTGAATGATTAACGTGAAGATCGCTGGTTCGATTGACTCATACACAAGATTTTTTATTGCTTAAATCAAGAGTCGAAAATCTGAGAATATAGTAACGTTGCACGTGCCTATATTTAATAATAATAAAATACGGATTTTCGTAATAGCAACTACGTATCCAAAGTAATATCCACAACGTTTTGCTCCATTGCAGCTTAGTTAATAATTTTAGTCGCCTCTTTTCTGTTGAAAACACAAAATTATTGAAATCGCTGTTTACATCATAACATTGCTTTTTTACCAGTACTTTAACAGTGTCCACACACATATTTATTTTAACTTGTAAGGGTAAAAAAAATAAATAAAAGTTATAAAACATTTTTTTTATTTTTCGAGGAAACTGTATTTGTTCGAATATACTTCAGAGGTGAGGGAAGTTCTGTCTACTTAACTTTACATCAACGTTTTTATTATTATTAAACAGAAATGGAGCACAAGCCTATTATGATGTTTTATAAAATAAGTAAAAAAATGCATACTTATTTAAGAAAATGAAGTGTACAAATAAAATTCTATTATGTTTGAAAATGCAAAATACAGCCAGTATTAGTAACTAATTTGATATTTTCTGATGGTATTGTACATGTAATTGCATTAATGTGTAATTTGTTAGTATTCACTAAGAACTAAAGCACTAAAAATAACCTGCAAAGAACACTTGTTTTATGAAATAAAGCAAGCCAAACAAAAGTCACTTATTTAGCAGTCCATGTTAAACCCTGTTCCAAATGAATGTGACTTCTCGTCACCACAAACGAATAATTTAAATGTTATTTCACAGTCTTGCACGATCTTTTGCCTATTCATAGTGTTGTTACAAATGTTTCACGAACAAAAAGTTTTTAATTACGCTTTCGTCATTTGTAGCATTAACTCCACTGCATTGCCTGTTGTACAACAAATGAAAATTTGAAACATCTGCGTTCTCACATAGTCTGCACGAGTTGAGTACGATTTTTGGTTATAACGGTATGAATTCTCTTGTTCCCTAATACACATGTATAGAAATGGGAAATCCCCGGAGTTTCCAAACCGCATTCGACTAGAACTGCGCCGAGCATTGGATTGTTTACAATTAAACACAAAGGAGTCTAGGCTTTCACTATAGTCTCACGTATTCTAGCTTAACTCGCTGGAGGCCAAAACCAGCGGCCTCGGCGTGTGGATTATTCGTAATTCTTCCAGGAATGGCGGCGTGAAGTGTCCTAATTGCTCTCATTATTACGTGGTGTATAATTTAATACCCCTCCCGCGATGTTTTACTGGTTCATAAGCTTTTCTCGGTCTTCAGGTAAAGAGGGGGGTTAAGCGCCGTCGCTTTCCTCGTTATGAATGCTCAAGTAAACGAGCTTTGGGCTTAATGGACCATAAGTCACCCAGATGTACCTTGAAGAGACTTTGTTGTTTGGCCGTTACGTCAACCGGCGGAATTGACCGAGGCTTAAAGCTCTGCCCGACTTATAACGACTCGTAATTAAATAAAGTTCAACTTGGAGAAGAACGTCGTAAAGCAAATGAAGAGTTAACAAGATAAAACTTTGAAAATTCATCAAGTGCACGTTAATTATTTATTAAACTAAAAAGCTAATTAAGGAACTTTATGAGGTTTGTGCTAGGTCGGAGCTAATTGTGATCGGGATGAAACATAATTCTAGTGTGGTCATTCATCATAGCAATATTTTCTTGAAGGTATTAATTTTTCATAGGCATCCCTGTATATAGATGAAATTGATTAATTAATATGAAATATCTCTGTTTAATGAGATTTCAAAAAGAGCTTCACAAATCTTGCTCATTTCAATAAAATTTAATTTTAGTCAAAATAAAATACAGGATAAATAATGATTCATACAGTGCAAGCCCAAAGTCAGTAACCTCAAAATATAATTTCTGTACTATTTACATGTGCAAGTTTTAATATGTTTGAGCAAAAATAACAGTAAAAATATGACATCTTTCTTACTAATATTTTTAATTTTCTTAAATAAGATGTTAAGATGTAGACGAATAAAAATATGAAATACTACGACTACTTTCGTGTGAACTTCTGTAGAACAAATTGTCATAAAAACATACGTTGCTGAACTTACATTGTTAAGTTGTTATAAAAAAATGGGTCGAAGACAGAACTTCCCTCGCACATAAAGTACAGCTTGTTCTATAAACTTGGATTCGTGCCTTAATATTTGCATTATGAAACTCGTTCGTTAATATACGATTTGCAGTTTCCTTAAGTTTTAGAGTCTGTTTTTACATTATAAACACAAATTTAAATGTTATACTTTAAGAACCACGTCTTCAAAAACTTGACCAATAGTGGACAGGCGGATAAAATGTAATAGAATGCATGCTTTTTTTTTTAATTCTAGATGAAAAATAAAAAAAAAATAAGTTCTAAAACCTAATTTTAGAGAAAAAGTAACAGTATACACATATAAAAAAAAAAATTATCTGCTGTTGTTTCACGCATTCATTAATTCTTTTGAGATACCCTGTATATACAAAACCAAAAAATATGAATGCAATGATAAATCACAACTACAGACTCATGATATTTTGTACATTTTAGATAGGGTTAATTCGGCAAACTTTTGAGCTGACGTCATCAATTTTTTGGAGGGGATAAGTAAATATATTTTGATTAAAAATTTATCATGCTTGTCGTAACTGTAAACCATCTGCAAGATTTCAAAGCATTCGGTTTTGCAGATTCAAAATTAAATATATTTGGATAAATGAAAGAATATTATTACTTGTGTTTGAAAACGATTACAATAGTCGAACTTACCTCACTTACTTCAATACGATAAGTTAATGTTGTAGATGTTGTGTTATTTTGAAACTTTTTGTTGGTTGGGAATCCACTTAAGTAACTTTTCTGTTATTATTAGTAAAAAAAAAACACTTCCGTTTTAGGTCAGCCATACATAATTTCACAAGTAAAGATCAAGCTACGATTTTACAGCTACATATCTGTGATACATACCTCCACAAAATATTCTGAATGGGAAATAGCTGCATGTTCAATTAGCGAAGACAAACTGCTCAGTTTTAACGAAAGAACAGTCAGTTTCATTAAAATTATTGGTCAACTTTCTCCTAATAAGGTAAATTATTTCATCTTGCCAACAGTTCTTTTAACTGTCTATTCAAGAGATAGAGGCCCACTTCAGAGAATTTTTAAAAGAAATTGAATGTTTCTAAGAAACTTTCAAGTTAAAATTGTGCACTAAGTATTTACTAATTTTTAGTGTAATATCATTAGTCGAAGTATACCTATACAATATCTGGCCCGCGAGATCTTCTGATTTTATTCTGCAGACTTTTTTGATGACCCTGTTTAAAGAACACTATTTATCGAACGCGTGAAGATTTTGGAGGAATTAGTAAGGTTGAGAGTAACAGAAGAAATGAACGATATAAAGAATAAAGCAGAGATCTTGAGACACGTGTGAAATTAATTAATCCTGTAGTAATTTTCCTTGTAACTATGCAGTTATTTTCTAAAAATGTTATTAAAAAGTGTCCGTTATTTGTGCTTTTACATTTGTCATTTATTAGTGTAGTTTGATCACCCACATGCTAAATCCTTTCCAACGTACTTTAACAAGCAGGTCTTCAAAAAATTGACCAATAATGGGCAGACAGATAACGTTGTACATATTTTTTTTCAAGATGAAAAATAAAAAAAAAGTTCTAAAACCTAGTTCTCGAGAAGAGGAATGGTACAAACATAAAAAAAATTATCTGCTGTTGTTGATGAACAGTGTTATTCTGACTATTCCATGTATATAGGTTAAACACCAATCATAATTGAAATGCAGTGTGGGCTTTGGCGGCAAGCCACAGTAACTCGGCATCCCCATTGGGTCAAAAAACGGTGTTTTCAACCTGACAAACCATAGTTACGATCATGTAAACAAATTAATTTTTTGACATTATTAAAAAATGGGTTCATTATGGGTTCATTTGCCAACAATTCTTTCGTAGAAAGTGAATTAAAAATATTCAACAAAATTGTTTATAATTATTGTGCTTTAGTACAAACTGGAATAGTCTCTTGTAAAATACAATGACCGACAAAAAAAATCGGCCACCCTGAAAAATTTAGCAAAACCACTTTAAAAATTATGAATTTACCTAATGATCGTTATTTTATTAAAGAACCATTCACTATTGACACACATGTTGTACAAATTAGCAAAAAAAGAAGACATATAAACGCAGAATTAAATTTAGTTTAATAAAATACCAGAAACAGACCAAGTACGATATTTTCTTAAATAAAACAGTAAGGAAGCTGTTGTTGTAAACAGTGTTTTTCATCATTTGATTATAAGTTTGGCAGTTAATAAAAGCTTACCAGTGAAAATAATGCCGTTAATTCTTACAGACGTCTCTCAAATTGTCGCTCCGTTTCTGTTAGTTTGCTAAATTTAATTTAGTTCTGCATTTATTTGTCTTCTTTTTTTTGCTAATTTATACATCATTTGTCAATAGTGAATGGTTCTTTAATAAAATAACGATCACTAGTTAAAATAATAATTTTTAAAGTTTGAGTTTAAAGTGGCTGGTTTTTTTTGCCGGTCAGTGTACAATTCGTAGGATGAATATGTTTATAACTCAGACTTTTATTAGCTAAACTCAATTTGTGTTGCGATGGAAATACCACGAGTTGGGCAGCAACGAGTGGTAATTCCTGAGACCAACACAAATTGAGTTTGGTTAATATATAAATCGTCTGAATTATCACAAATATTCATCCTACTCATGGTATTACTATTGAATGCAGTGATTATTACAAATCTTATTAATGTTTGACCTTTATAGGGTATTTCCCACAGAACCAGTGCACATTTTATAGCCGCATCTTGAAGTTAACTGAAGTGTCGCCATGAAAATTCTCACAGTTTTTCTGGTTGTTATGTTTTTCACTTTCAGTGAAGGTGTGTATAGTACAAAAATGAGTTCTTTTTTCATTATTATTGTTCAAAGCAGTGTCAATAAACTCTTAATTTTTTTCGTTTTTTTATAGCTTTAAAAAATTATAAAGGCACAGAAATTCAAAAATGTCTAAACTGTCTTTGCCATGCCAGGACGGGTTGTTACAGCCGCTTCAATTGCGCCAGCTACTCAGTTAATATTGATTATTGGAAATTTGCAAAAAGTCCTGTTGTTGACATAGATGATGAACCCGAGACAGAACAAAGTTACAAGAAGTGTATGCGCAACGAAAATTGCATTCTAACTACAATTGACCAATACGCAGACGCCGTTGGACACATGGTACGTAATTTAATTTATGCTAAATTACTAAACTAGACAGCATTTTTACATCAACATATTACAGGACTGTAACTGTGATGGTGCGTTTGACTGTAAAGACAGGTTTGCTATTCATTTATTTGGATTAAATTGTACTAATCCGAAATTCGAGAAGTGGTACGTAGATAGATTCAACACTTGCGCAAAAGAAGTTGGTGTGAATACCATGTTGGAAAACGAAGGATTCGACGGATGTACACCAGAAGTTGTTTAATTTGGGAAGGTTATAATTGTTATAAACATTTTCATTCATGTTTTTTTTTTAAGCTTATTGTAACTTTTTTAACTGCTTTGACAATGACTATTACAGTTTATAATACCTAATTAACTATTAGTTTTATGGAAGAAATTTTTATATATGAAACATTAGAATTAATAAAAATATGACCATACGAACGGTTAGTATTACATCCTCACGAAGATGATAATGTGATATTTATTTTGTGTAATTACTTTATTACTTCTGGAGCGTAAGGTAAGGAAGTATAGTAATCGACTCCATTGAACGACTGGCTACTTCATAAACCCTAGAGTACGAAAATCATCTATTTCTGTCTGTCTGTCGTCTTCCGTCTGTACGAATTTTTATTAGACAGATAATTTCCGAAACTACTAGACTGTTTGTTGTCAAATTTTGTATGTATTGTAATAGCTTTAAATGTAAAAAATATAAATCATCTAAATCACGAGATAACACGAACTGCGATATTTTTAATAGAATGGTTCAATTACATTATAAAAACATTTGTTATTATATAATATTGGATCGGTAACAGAGGTAATTACAATCAGCTCGCAGCCCAGATTTAATGTCCTTGATTTATTATTACGGCGATATATAAAAGATTTTGGCGTATTTGCGATCCTTGCCTAATTTAGAAGAATAAACAAACTAAATTGAAAATGTTTTATCGTTTTTAACGTGCGATATGCTTAAATGAATTAAATGTTTTTGAAACCAAATACCAATTATTGTAAAAAAAAAACTGCTAGTACTTTATTTTAGTCAATTTTACTAATTTTATTTTTATATTTATAACTTTGATTTCTCTCCAAAATCCACTAAAAATATGTACGTCGAAAGTTAATAAAAGAACATAGCTTGTGTACTGAACTAAATTAAGCTTCCCATTTCAAGCTAAAAGCTATGGCGTTTACAGAATTTCAATATCTTTATCTATTCTCAAGATATTAGGTGGCGAAGTTTTATATGGGTCACTGTAGATACAGGGTGAGTCACTAAGCGCGCTTTCCTATATCATTATTCCTTAGAAATAGAAAAAAGTCAAAGCCCATAGTTGTACGGTTCTTCTAGGACTATACTCTAAAAGTGACTGTTCTATTTTAAAGGCACAACTTAGTTTTTTTTTTTATGAAACCTCCTACATATGTATGTTTACATATTTTGATTGACCTCTTCTTGACTTCTTAGGCAGTTTATTTATGAAATTCCTATGCAACGTTGCCACGTCATTCCCATTTTTTTTAAATCTTTTAGGGAGTTCACGAAAAAAATCGCAGTAGGTTTATCTTCAAAATTCTTGTACAATATTTTGTAGATAGATAAGTAAAGTTGCGTGCTATGTTCTAGTATAAATGAAATTAAATTTTTGTCTACAGAGTGTTCATAACAAAATTTTCGATTACTACAATTTCTATATATCGATATTTCAGTTTTTTTTTATTTTTATATATTTTATTACCGCTTCTTATTTCATTTTTTGTTTTTTCTCTTTTTTGAAGTATTTTCTGTACTTAAAGTTGATAATTGCTGCGATTTTTTAGATTTAATTGCTACCGCAACCAAGGGCGTCCCTTTATTTATTTTTCTACAAAACATTGTAACACCGATTTTAAAAATAACTAAGTATATTGCTATTTTTGTAGCTTCATCCTATTTTGTTTTTGTCTGTTTTAACACTTCTATCAAAATAATAATATGTCAATGTAATTCAATTTAAACCTTGTTAATCAGTTATTCTCTTTCCTGTGAATATGTTTGTCAACATTTTTTGCATATCAATCTAATCGTGGGAAAATATATACGACTCCAAATTTACCAGATCACATGTTATAGGTTATTAATATTATTTGCGGAAATTTTGATCTAGAAAGTCAACAACACTTACTTCATTTACGGATTCTTTTGAATAATTCCACGTTACCACAGTAGACAAGAGCTATTTTTTTTAATATTCCAAAAAATAAAAGTACGCATCCTTGCATTGAAATTGGGAATATCTGAAGACTAGGTATGGTTCAGTATCCAGTTGGCGGGCAATAATTTTTAAGACAGTCTTAAGTATATCTTTACGTGATTTTCATGTGTTCTGATATAGTGTAGGTTCTATCGGAAATAATTATAGAAACAGAAAATTTAAACATAAGTAAGTATATATAAACAGTTATTCTATTAAAGTAATTTAATGTTATACGATAGAATACAATAACTTCACTCAGAATCAAACAAATAATAATAATAATTTAAACTACCCTCTACTTGACAAAATTATTTTTCAAACTAATGCATATTCCAGGTCTCCATCCAGTAGCCGTCAAATTTTCTCCGGTGCAAATATCATACCTTCTAGTTGCCGCTCTTGTAAAAATACTGTCCACCTCTTTTGCAGCTTTTCCGTACTTATGAACAGCAAGGTGGTCTTTGCAGTCAATGGTGCCGTCGCAGTTAATATCCTAAAAAACGTTACAAATTACTTATCGAAAATTTGATGTACTTGTTTCATTTTTACACCCGTAAATGCAATGGTTTCCTTCGTGTACTGATCAATTGTTGTCAATACGCACTCATCATTTTGTATGCATTTTGAAAATGCGATGTTGTCATCGTCATTGGCAGTGTCTACAACTGGTGATCCAGCTTCCAACCAATAATTTAAATCAATGGTTTTTTTAGCACAATTTGTTAAACTAAAGCAGGCACTCACTGCGTTGCAGATACATCTGATGCATTTTTCTCTTTCGGGTTCTAAAGTTTCTTTAGCAGTTACACAAGTGAAGAAAATTATGAAAAGTATTGTCGACATATTTTAACTTAACTATCTAATTTAATTTGGTACTTATCTTTTTTATTTTCTAATCACAATCGATGTTTGACCTTTACATAAATAGTGTAATAGTGTAATGCGATATTATATTACTTATTAGTTGGGAAGTTTGTGTTTTATCAACGCTGGAATTACGTTACGCAAATGTAACTGACCTGACAAAAAAATATCTTGTAACTGGTAGATGCATTTAAACAAACTTCAAGGTTAAATATATACAACTAACTCAATTTGATTCAGTAATTGGTACTGCATTAAATAGTTTACGACGGGTTTTTCATGAATGAAGAACAGGAGATGCGTCAGTGAGATAATTATATTTTGGGGAAACACTACGGCAACAGGTTTTTATTTTATGTAAACTAGCAAAAAATTGTATGCGTGAATTGGTTAAAAAAGTTAAACTATAGGTTTCCGTCAATTTGTCTTCCGTACAAGTGGTTATCCCCGAATTAAAAAAATTATGAGGTTATCTTAAAATCTTGTTAAATAAATTGCACTTGAAATTTACAGTGTAACATACTCCTTTACCTGTGGTTTAATAGTGTGGGAATATTCTTGATCTTACGTGTCTAAATTACCGCAAAAAAATAAAACTAGTATAAAGTTTTATACGTTGTTTCAGCAGCTATTGGTTATAATTATAAAACATTGTCTAATATTTTTTGCATACACCTTTTAGAGAAAAGCAGAGGTAAAAACTATTCAAATACTATTTAACGATATCTCAAAAAATTTGTGAATGATGCTTTTCATTTTTTTATGAAATCTAATTTCCTTGAAATTTAAGGAAAACAACGATAGTTTTGCTATTATTGTTGCTGCGTTAAACGTTTTCGAATTAATAGTATATTTGTTAGTGAGAAAACAGTAGTTAAGTCATCGCTGAATTGAACCCTACATGAAAGATGCACCGTCATGCGTCACCACACGTGTTCGTTTACTCATGCTTTAATAATTTACCCGGATCATTACTCTGACATACACAGACCAAAAAAATCTGCAGAACAAAATTTTACAGTTTGTCCAACAAATTGCCGACACTTGCCAAGATATACTAACTTGATTTAGTGATTAAAGTCTATCCCCTCCAAAAATTGATGATGATGTTATGGAAAAAATTACCTATTCAATACGTTTTTATTTTAGGACATACTATACTTTGTTTTGAGTTTTTTAATCCAAATTTTTATTGGAAAAATGTTTTCATGCCGACAAGGTTTTGCTGTTGACTTAAGGAATAACCTCCTTAAATAAACAATGAAAGTTAAGCCTTAGAATAGACTGATTTTATTTTTAAAAGTAAAGTTGCTTGTGTTGGGATCATTTTTTTAAATTTATGTCTGCTTTTATTAATTAGTGATCATTTAGCTGATGGTAAATTTTTCGCTGCTCAAATGATCATAGCTTGGTAACAACTTACTCTAATTTTTAAAGCTCAGTAAAAAAATTAACTACTTGTATAGAATAAATGTCAATTCCACCACATTTATTCTTTTTATTGTCTTTTGTTAGAAAAATTCAACAATTTTTTTTTATTTTGTTTTATGTGAAAATACAGTATTTCAGTAATGGGCAAAAATCACCAAGTTGATGTTTGTGAACAGTAAATATCGGTGCTGACGATTTCTGTTTGAAGTTTCTAAAGCAAACACTTGATGGCGCCACCTCCTCCAAAGCAATAATTTTTCATAAATTGGAGGGATGAAAGAAATGATTATATTCTATTTACTTTAATTTAATAATTGCTTAATGTTGCAAATGTTGTAATCAGTTTAATTCTGTTTGTACTTCTATATTAAAAAGAATATATGTATTTGTGAACGCGGTTCGCTTCACAAAGAAACTTTATCATCAGCTGTAAATTAATGGAGAAACTCGTGTGTGAAATAAATTAGTCATATGATATCCTAAGGTCAGTTTAAAAATAAGCTCTACTAACTGTTGTCCACGGATCATACTTCTACTCAGTGAAATTGTTGTTAATTTTGCAGACGATTTTAATGAATTTTTGGTTAGTGGGAAATTGGTGTATTTTTTTACTTCCAAGCAAAGATCACTTCAGTAAAATGATGTAGGAGTATCTAAATAACTGGTTATTATGGTATGGATGTCTTTTATTTACAAAGATAAGTGCATCCAACTTCATCGAATACAACTAAATACCTACAAGTGATTATAAAAGCAAATAAGCTTTTGATAAGGAGTATTTAATTATACATTACATTTGTTTTATGTACAAGTACATAGTTAAAAAAACTGTAAATAAAGGAATTGCAAGTAATATCAAAAGAAAAGGTACCGCTTTAATTCAAGAACAAACAGTACAATTATAGGAGTATTAACGAAATACATTTAAAATAAGATTTATAAACGTCGCCAGCAATTTTTTAGTATAAAAAGTTGCCAAATTAACTAAAAAATACATATATAAATTCTAAACACAACAATAATCATAATTGTTTGAAACAATCTGTATAAGTAATTTTAAATACATATAAACTAATTCCAAAAAGTGAGAATACGTGAATTACAGCTACTGACGCGATAATTTCTAAAACAGTGTTATTATCGAGTCAACAAACAACGTGATAGATGACAGACAAACAAATGAAAAAATAAAACCTCAGTTCTCATATGCTCTGGCGGCATGCGAAAGCTCCAAAAAAGTAACTGCTTCTATCGAATTTTCAAGGTTAAAAACCCATAGCGTTATTTTTATGTTCACTAAAATGTTATGACGTGATTATGAGGGTGTGGACGGCATAATAGCAGGGTTAGTGACGATTGTAAAGTTACCGGTTAATTTTCGGTGAAAATATAGGGGTTGTAACTTGAAAATCTCAACCCCACAGAAAACAAAAGACAAAAAATTATTGGAACATTGTCCATGACTAGCAGAGTCACTGGCGGTAAATTTGGGAAGCACAAATTTTTTCACTATACGTATGCTTGAAAATTGTTGCTGTCATATCTTCAGGATAATCAGTTCGCGATTCTACCTGCCATTGATACAGTGTTATTTAGGGTTTGTTTACACAGATATTACCGTTTTTAATATCATACAATAATAAAATTTTACTAGATATTAAAGTAATCTTCAAAGTAAATATTTTCGTGTTAATAAGAAGATCATTTGTGGTGGAGGCGCCGGGTGCTGAGTTTTTACGGTATTGACATGCAGAACAACAGTAATTGTTGAGTGGCTGTGACTACTCAGAAAAATATTCATCAATATATTCATCATATACCGGGACTATTAATGATTGAAGAAAATTTCTTGGGTCGGTATACTTGTGTAGGTGTTAGAACTCGTCCTTGACATGTGTCTATCTTTGATTTATTTCTTTAGCTTAGAATCCTGGAAGTTTTGTTATTTGCGTTGTTTGCAAGAAGATGAACATCCATTTTCTAAAGTTAATATCATTCTTGGCATTTTTTTATTTATTTGACGATATTTAAAAATTACTAATTTGAATAATCATCTCATAAATAAAATTTCACAAAATTACGGACAAAATAAATGTTACAAAAAAGTCTATAGATATCAAATCGGATGACTTGCTGGATCACAAACCTACGCCTATTTTTCCAAAAAAAATCATTGTAGTCTGACTTTATGGAAGATGGTATAATTATGTTGTAAGTAACCCCTTGTCAGTTTAATGTTCTCAAGATTGTGTTTATAAATTGTTTCATAAAAGGCCTTTGTTATCTCTGAGCGTTAATTGTTGCATCAGATCTCTTGATATTGCCACCCAAATGCTAGTTTTAACTGGATACACTGGTACTTAAATAAAATTATGGGAATTTCGTGTCGATCAGGTTCTGTAATTTCGTGACTTTATGAACCCTGAAAGGTGGACCCACGCCTCATCGGAAAAAAGTGATCTAAGGTTAATTAGACAGAACTTCCCTCGCCCCTGCGGAATGGTGGAACATATGCATACGTCAGCCTTATCTCTTTTTTTTTTACTCAAGCATCTGAAGAACCTTTCGTGAGCCCAATAGGCGCTAGCCTCCGCTCAAAGAATAATAATAATAATAAATGCAGCTTTTTCGAAAATCATAGAATTTAAATTTGTGAAGAGTGGTTGTTATGTACTATGTGTCTAAAGAACAAGACGGATTAAACAATAAAAAAATATGTAGTAATAACAAAAAATTTGGAGATATATTCGTAAACCACAAGTATAGGAGTGTATTATTTCACTAAATTTAGATAATCTTAATTACACAATAGGTATAGTGATTAGTGCATGGAGAAGAAGGGAGATGAAGTGGAATACTGTAAGAGTCTGTAGAAAGTATCGTTTCAGTTTTTCGAAGTGCTGCCACCATCGACCCCGTAACGTCCAAAAAGTTCCGAGGTGGACCCTCGATGGTACCTTTTCTCCGCTAGCCAGAAAAGGTACCATACAACCGCTGCCCGTTCTAACACGACCGCTGCGTGATCCTCTTTTTGCATACCGTACCCTTTTCAGCGTCACCGCCTCCCCAGGAACTGCTGCAGCCCCGTCCAGAAAACAGCCGCCGCCAGGAAAGTTACAGGACGACTTTAATCTGGTCTGCAAGTTTTTTCCCTTAGTTGATTTTCTTATTTAGATTTTATAATGGTGGCAAAGATAATAATAATCGGATCTTTTTGATTTTCACCGGTATATTATTTGTATTTTGTGCGGCTGCTCACGAGACCCATTGGAGATCCATTTCTTCGGCCAGAATACCCCAGGTGGTTCTTCTCCGGAGAGGGAGTCTCAAAGTTTCATTGACACGACAAAAATACGGAAAATCGATTTGGAAAAGGTTAGGTGAATAAGTACATTGTCAGTTGGAACCTATTTATTGGGATAAGCGAGGAACAGAACCACGTAGATTTTGTTCTACAATATGACTAGCGTTGTCAACATCTGGTATAGCAACAGTACGTTGACCGGTCGATTTTTCTTTTCCAACATCACTCGTGCTTAGAAATTGTTCGAACATTCTATTATCGGTCTAACGGTAGGGCATTATTAATATTTCTTTCTAGTTTTATAGAGGTAGGAAAAGTATTTCTATAAGAAGTGTTCAAAGTGGCTTCATTTTGCTGCGGACGTTGTCACATTTATTAAAATTTGGTTATGGCTGTCTTTTGGACAGCCGATGAATTGTCGTCGATCATCACAACGAGGCGCAAAATTCACGAAATCTCAAGGCCAATTTGAACTAGTACTATCTTTTATAAATATCCTGTAGTTAAAATAGTATTTTATTAACATCTAGTTTATGACTACGTGTTGAGTTTTTAGCCAAAATGTCCAGATTTTTGGAAAAAAAATCAAAATTATAGAACAACATTTTGCAATTTAATTTTGAATCTGCAAATGGAATGCTTTGAAAGCTTGTAGATGTTTTAAAGTTATGATAAGCATGGTAAATTTTTTATCAAAATATATAAACTTCTCCCCTCCAAAAAATTGGTGACGTCAGCTCAAAAGTTTGCCGAATAAACCCTATCTAAAATGTACAAAATATTATGAGTCCGTACTTGTGATTTATTATTGCATTCATGTTTTGTATTGATCAAATTATGAACGAGTCACCACATTTTCTGGAAAATAAGAAAATACAAACGTCTTTATTTAATAAAAATTATAATAATGATATTCAGAACATTTTAGTCGATTGTAGTTTACTAAGTATTTAATAGTTTTAATTCTCTGTTTTGGGGGGACGAACTCATTCCAATCGTACTAATTTCTACGTGACATTCTTCCGATGTATAAACATACACGCTTTCAAGTTGTTTTTCTTATCGAAGATAACCTAAGGACGTACAGCAATGGAGGCCATTGGACTATTTGGTACTTTCATATTTTCTGGATATTTCATAACCCCTAGACAAGGCCATAGCTAGGGAGAGGCTAGGGGATGATGCTGAACCTTCCTTAGACCTAGACAAGTTATAATTAACGAAATGTGAATTACAATTCGAAAATCAAAATAAAAGTGTTTTATTCAATAAGCGGTTGTCAGAGCAATAAAAAAGTCTGGACCGTCGGCATTGTGATCCGGTTATTACAATTCGTAGAAAACATCTTTTACTTTAGTTTCTCTATTTCACTCTCACGTTCACAGCTTGACAAGCGTTATCGCTATTTGTTTTAAATTACGAGTAATACGTCTCTGCAATAATGTGGATGACATCAACACAAAATTTTGTAATAGAAAAACTCACTTGTAACAAACGGTTAGCACGTTTCTTTACCTTTACTCGAACATTAGATACATATTTTTATTTTAGCCTATAATGGTTGCCATAAAAAACAATAAAATTAGCAAAATCAATTTTTTTAATTTTTCGGAATTTAACAAGCTGTACTTTATGTGCGAGGGAAGTTCTGTCTTCGACCCATTTTTTTATAACAACTTAACAATGTAAGTTCAGCAACGTATGTTTTTATGACAATTTGTTCTACAGAAGTTCACACGAAAGTAGTCGTAGTATTTCATATTTTTATTCGTCTACATCTTAACATCTTATTTAAGAAAATTAAAAATATTAGTAAGAAAGATGTCATATTTTTACTGTTATTTTTGCTCAAACATATTAAAACTTGCACATGTAAATAGTACAGAAATTATATTTTGAGGTTACTGACTTTGGGCTTGCACTGTATGAATCATTATTTATCCTGTATTTTATTTTGACTAAAATTAAATTTTATTGAAATGAGCAAGATTTGTGAAGCTCTTTTTGAAATCTCATTAAACAGAGATATTTCATATTAATTAATCAATTTCATCTATATACAGGGATGCCTATGAAAAATTAATACCTTCAAGAAAATATTGCTATGATGAATGACCACACTAGAATTATGTTTCATCCCGATCACAATTAGCTCCGACCTAGCACAAACCTCATAAAGTTCCTTAATTAGCTTTTTAGTTTAATAAATAATTAACGTGCACTTGATGAATTTTCAAAGTTTTATCTTGTTAACTCTTCATTTGCTTTACGACGTTCTTCTCCAAGTTGAACTTTATTTAATTACGAGTCGTTATAAGTCGGGCAGAGCTTTAAGCCTCGGTCAATTCCGCCGGTTGACGTAACGGCCAAACAACAAAGTCTCTTCAAGGTACATCTGGGTGACTTATGGTCCATTAAGCCCAAAGCTCGTTTACTTGAGCATTCATAACGAGGAAAGCGACGGCGCTTAACCCCCCTCTTTACCTGAAGACCGAGAAAAGCTTATGAACCAGTAAAACATCGCGGGAGGGGTATTAAATTATACACCACGTAATAATGAGAGCAATTAGGACACTTCACGCCGCCATTCCTGGAAGAATTACGAATAATCCACACGCCGAGGCCGCTGGTTTTGGCCTCCAGCGAGTTAAGCTAGAATACGTGAGACTATAGTGAAAGCCTAGACTCCTTTGTGTTTAATTGTAAACAATCCAATGCTCGGCGCAGTTCTAGTCGAATGCGGTTTGGAAACTCCGGGGATTTCCCATTTCTATACATGTGTATTAGGGAACAAGAGAATTCATACCGTTATAACCAAAAATCGTACTCAACTCGTGCAGACTATGTGAGAACGCAGATGTTTCAAATTTTCATTTGTTGTACAACAGGCAATGCAGTGGAGTTAATGCTACAAATGACGAAAGCGTAATTAAAAACTTTTTGTTCGTGAAACATTTGTAACAACACTATGAATAGGCAAAAGATCGTGCAAGACTGTGAAATAACATTTAAATTATTCGTTTGTGGTGACGAGAAGTCACATTCATTTGGAACAGGGTTTAACATGGACTGCTAAATAAGTGACTTTTGTTTGGCTTGCTTTATTTCATAAAACAAGTGTTCTTTGCAGGTTATTTTTAGTGCTTTAGTTCTTAGTGAATACTAACAAATTACACATTAATGCAATTACATGTACAATACCATCAGAAAATATCAAATTAGTTACTAATACTGGCTGTATTTTGCATTTTCAAACATAATAGAATTTTATTTGTACACTTCATTTTCTTAAATAAGTATGCATTTTTTTACTTATTTTATAAAACATCATAATAGGCTTGTGCTCCATTTCTGTTTAATAATAATAAAAACGTTGATGTAAAGTTAAGTAGACAGAACTTCCCTCACCTCTGAAGTATATTCGAACAAATACAGTTTCCTCGAAAAATAAAAAAAATGTTTTATAACTTTTATTTATTTTTTTTACCCTTACAAGTTAAAATAAATATGTGTGTGGACACTGTTAAAGTACTGGTAAAAAAGCAATGTTATGATGTAAACAGCGATTTCAATAATTTTGTGTTTTCAACAGAAAAGAGGCGACTAAAATTATTAACTAAGCTGCAATGGAGCAAAACGTTGTGGATATTACTTTGGATACGTAGTTGCTATTACGAAAATCCGTATTTTATTATTATTAAATATAGGCACGTGCAACGTTACTATATTCTCAGATTTTCGACTCTTGATTTAAGCAATAAAAAATCTTGTGTATGAGTCAATCGAACCAGCGATCTTCACGTTAATCATTCAACATTTTTACAGCACGACTACAGAGTTACATAGAGAAGAAAAAAAGTGCATCGATTGTTAATTCGGAAGACCTTTTCCCGTACCTGTAATCGTCTAAGAAATCTCGGTTCTTCGAAAAATTATAAAATTTGATTTTGAGGAACTGTATTTGTGATAATGATAATTGATAAATTCTAAACATTGAAAATATAAATGATACCAGTAACAGTTAAGAAACACAAGGCCCATAAAAGAATCGAACGCGCCTGTAAGCACTGCGCTATTAAATATTTTTGTGTGTACTATACTTATATTAGTGTAAGAAGTTGTTACACAATTTTGATTTTGTTTGTGAACATTTGGAAGCCTCGGGGAAAACTTCAAGGCGGATTCATAAACTACAAATACAGAAATTACGTTATTTTGTAAAATTTAAATTCTGCCTGATAAGAAAAGGAGCGTCATCACATTGTTGGTGGGGGTTATTAGGCCCATTTTGGTTAACGTTTAATAAATCAGCACCATGTTTCTAAAGTACCTACATATCAAAATTCAGAGCAATCAGTCAAGTAGTTTCAGAGTTTATGTATCTGATAAAAATCGACACAGACAGATATAAATCGGAGATGTACTTTATCTACATTAGGGGTAATGAAATGTTAAGACAACATTACCGTATTACCATAATTCCTTAGCTTACGCTCATCAAGTAAAAAGACTTTTCTGCCTCACAAGACAGAATAATACGGTTGCAAACAAAGAAGAGGAAAAATTAGCAAATTGCTTAAGAACGAAAAAAAAATAGCAATGATTCAGCTTTACAAGCAGATTGAACGTGTTTAAAAGAACCTGAACAAAAGGAATGCACCTGAAGTACAAGTCCAAAAATTCCTTTTGTTTGAGAAATTATAAAAATACTGATTTTGCGATTTTTGTTTTTGATAACCTCTATAAACTAAAAAACCAGCGGCGTAAATAACACCAGCGTAACCCCTGCATTGTGGGGACGCAAATTCCAAGGGGATGCGATCTGTAAATGTATGCACCATGTAAAATATATTTAAAACAGATAACCAAAAGAAAAAATGTCTTCTTAGTAATAATAACGTGCTTAACTTCGAATGTTTATGTTTACACCTTGCGTGTATTGTTCAATATTTTATTTGTTTCTCACTTGTAAATAACTATTATAAATTTATTAAAAACTCTAGAAGGTCCAATATTTGAAGAAACATTGTATGAGCTTTAGACGTATTGCCTTGGAAAAACACGTCAGCATGGCACTTGCATTTACTATGTTGTCTAATTCTGTCATTTAGATTTTTCGATTTATCGTTTTCGATCTATTGAAATGAGTGTGGCGCAAGCTATATTACTGAGGAAGCAGCAATTGTGAGTGAAAGTTTACCTGAATCAATTTTGGCTGTCATTTCAACTTATAATAGTTTAAAATGTTTAAAATACATGGCGGTATGAGCACCAACAGGGCTGTAAAAATTTTACTGGCAGTCAGTAACATTTTTTACAGGCTATAGCCAGTTAAGTGACATTTTCATATTGAATACAGTGACTTGGTAAATTGATGTTTACAAGTGAGGAACAAGTAAAATTATTAATTAAGCGGCAGTCTTCAAAAACATCCAAGCAAGTCGTTGATTTTTTATGTTATTGGAGAATAAATACGAAGTACTCAGATCTCCAATATAAAAAATTCTCAGACTTCGGAAAGCTAAGTCAATGAGGTAAGGTATGAAATATGAATTTGGACAACAGTTCGAATCTTTGTTAAAACTTAGGTAGCATTTTTAGTAAATATAAAGATGTTTTTAGCGAGCAAAAAATTATTACTACATTGAAATTTTTTCTTTATGCTGTGGTTACCAAATTTGAATTAAAATTTCGCTCTGAAAGAAAAAACAGCGGCTTGAAATCGCATTTGAATAATTTGAATCAAAAAAAGAAATTCATTAAGAAAATCGTTAAACATAGGCAACCATGTGCACGTTTAGTTCTTTTCTGGCAGCTGTTAGTTCTCCTAGGGAATTTCTGGGGAGTATCTAGTGCGAGAGTTGGTAGAAGTTGACTTGCTTGGTAGAGGGGAGAGATGCGTCGTTCTGTGGCGTCACTGTTCTTTCTTTGGTGTGAGTGAAAGGACGCGGTAAGGAAGCTATATTAAGTTTAGTTGGTTTGGTAGTTAATAAAAGGGGAAAGCCTTTGTTTAACGGAAATAAATCGAACCGATTGCGATGGATGCTAGGGTTTTCCCCAATACGTGTAGCGAATTCTTGCGGTTTTTTCCAAGCAGAAATATGCGAAGTTTTATTGTTTGTAAATCCACAATTCATGTTAGGATTTTAATCGTTAGCTAGTTTTAACACAATTTAACGGTCCTGAGATTGTCCAGATAAAGCACTTGTTAGGAGATTTCATAAAATTCACTTAGTCAGGACTTATCTTTTGTTTATCAAGTTATAAATAAACAAGGTTTATTGATGCTTATACTTACGTGTTACATTATGACACTTCTTAATTGCTCACACAAGATTGCTAATAGTTCATTTACTGTAGTTAAATTAATCTAACGTTGTCCCACTCTGGGAAAAGACCGTGGAAAGTGAGGTAGACCCCATAATATCGCGGACTTAGGTACGGGAGGGATTAAATTTTCCCCTTAAGCAGTTACTATCGTTATCGTCATCAACTCATCGAGACATATTTATTTTCTCATAGGGTTGGAAATTATACCAACTAGAAGCATTTCTCGCGACGCTGGATGTGGACATTTAAGTTGAAAATGTCTGCAAGATTTCGAAGTATTCAGTTTTGTAATTCATTTATGATTTAATCAATAAAATAAATTGACTCAGTCATTAATTTTTTTGACACATCCTGTTTATGCAAATTTAAAAAATATTAATGCAGTGGTAAATGACAAGTATAGACTCATCGCATTTTGTACATTTTAGATAGTTGACGTCATCAATTTTTGGAGGGGATAAGTAAATATATTTTGATTAAGAATTTATCATGCTTACCGTAACTTCAAAACATCTACAAGATTTCAAAGCATTCGATTTTGCTGATTCAAAATTAAAATATGTTGTTTTATGATTTTGATTTATTTTCCAAAAATCTGGACGTTTCGGATAAAAACTCAACACGGAATCATAAATTACATATGTAGATTCACTATGTTATTTAATACAATTTAAAACTCATTTACTATGTACTTTTGAAGTGACGTCATCACATTATAGGTGGAAATGATTAGACAAATTTTGGTTCGTGTTTTACCATCTGCATGATATTCGTAATATAAATGCAAAATTTGAGAACAATCGGCCAAGTACTTTCGGAGATTATGTGTCTAATAAAAATCCGGGTCGGCAGACAGACGGACAGACAGACAGACAGACAGAAACAGGAGAACTATTTCTTCGTACTGTAGAGGTCATGAAAGGTCGAGAAAACGTCAAAGTAGAGAGTCGATTGCTTACGCTCTGGAAGTAAAAAGTAAAGTTCAATTCGGCACCGAATTTTATAACATTCAAATCATTTTAATATATCTATATACAAAATTTGACAACAATCGGTTTAGCAGTTTCGGAGATTACATGTCTAATAAAAATGGATACAAATACCAAACAGACAGAAAGACAGACGGAAACGGGAGACTACTTTTTTCGTAGTCTAGGTGTCATGAAACTTCGCGAAAATATAACAGTGGCCATTCGTCCGATGGACTTGGCTTACGCTCGGGAAGTAAAAAAGAAAAACCATAGTTCTCTGTTTTGTGTAATAATAGTCAGACGACGAACAAACTGATACCAATTTGATATAATCATAGTTCCGTATTTGTTTTGAAGTTGTTTGTTTTTACTTTTAATCTGATCATCGACTTCCAAATTATCAAAACCAAACACCTAACTATGTTTAACTTAAAATAGAAATGTAGAAATGTCGGTAAATATCAAAGACTGCTATGAAATTATACTGTTGGTTGCGTTTTGAATTTTTCAGGCGTGAATAACTCTGTATCAACATTTAGTTATTTAGATACAATTAAAGGAATAGTATATAATTAATGTCGAAATGATTTTTGTTTCTTAATAATTCTCTTATTTTTGAAAATTTTGAAAACACAAACGTCAAATTTTATTTTGAAAAAAATAAAATTGGCAATGGCCCCCTTATTACCAAACAGAGAAGGTATTATATATTTATAAAAACAACTAAAATGGTCGAGCAGAGCCCTGTAACACAAATCCAAACGTCATTTTATTTGTTATATACTTTTTTAAAAATTTTTGAAACAATTACTACTTTTGGATAAAATTTTTGATATTAAATATTTAGGTACTTTCGCATTTCAGAACGATGACAGCATTTTGGTCCTGTTTTTGTTTAGTTGCTGCTTGACAAAAAGAAACCCGTATGAATAAAATACACCTTGCTTTCTTTATGATACGTAACATATCGTGACAAATTTAAAGATTGCTAATAAATCTTTAATTTACTTAGTTTTCTTTTTATTTAGTCAAACAAAAGCTTCCCCGTACTATTAGATCCAGCATCCACCTATTTCTATTTTTCTAACTGAAGTAAAAATATTTGCATTTTCAGTTATTTGTACGTATTTCATCTTACTTAAGGCTGGCGTCTGGTTCGGTTTAGCCCTATACTAAATACATTGAAAACATCGTCGCGGTTTCCGGAGTTGCATTTTAAAAATATGAGATATATCGCTTTAAAAAAATTATATTTCGAATTAACAAACTTCAGTCCAGGGGACCTCCATATTTATATTCATATCTAGTATGCAGTTTTTACAAAAAAAAATTATAAAGTTGAACAACTTTTACATCACATTTTAACCGGCACATTGATGCATTTTTTGACGAAGTGCTGAAGTTTTTTGCATTCTGAGATAGGAGGTCTCCTGGGGAAAAGTGTCAGCTTTCTTTTGATACCATTTATAATATTAAAAAACCCACGACTGAGGTAAATAACTCGCGAAAAGTCAAAATCTATTGAAACGAGAAATCGGCATTAAACGAGCTGTGATGCGGTAGCAGAATGCAGGTTTACTTAGATTCTGACTTAGTTGGAGATTTCAGTATTTTAAAAATGCAATTCCGGACACTACGACGATGTTTTCAATGTATTTAGTATTGGGCGAAACCGAACCAGACGCCACCCTTAAGGTCTAGTTAAATTATTAATATTTACCGGTCTGGTTACGTTTACTCGAATGTATCTAGCCTTTTGTTGATCAAAATACAAGTTTTGCGTATGGTAACACCAGTATTCGCTGTAATCTATAACTTTTTGCCAGTTATGTAAATCAGTCGAAACTTCAATGTAGTAACGACAACGGTAGCTTCTGCACATATTGACAAAACACCTCAAAAAATTATTGAACAAACTTAGAGTTGACGGCACTTACTCCTTTATAAACATTGTTATGTTATTGAAGAATTTTACCACACCAAGATCAATAGTGATACCGTTTTCATCGTTCGTGTGGTGATAAGCACCATCTTTGCAATTTTCAGGCTCTTCAAACAACATGTTGGTATTCATTCCAGAAATCACTTTAACATTATATTCTGCTGTAGCAAGATTTTTATCTTTTACTAAAAAACATACAGGTCTATATTTCTGATTTGGTAATTAAACAGTCTTTGTACTTACACTGTCCAGCAAAGCGTAGTTCTTCGTGTGTGCTTTTATTTTGAATCGTTGCAAGAAGATTCAGCAGTTTTTCATTATCTACAACTTTAGACGGCCAAACAACATTTAAGATTTCATTTTGCGTTAAGCAAGAAAACCGAACACATTCAATAACCAAGTTATCTACATCTTTGTTAATTTTGCACCAGTTCGCCGCTATATTAAAAACGTCAATTTCTTTAACCAGAAACGCATCCCTTTTCAATAATTTAACCATAGATTTCTGAAACATGCTATTAAGTATATGTTTATATGCAGTTAGTGTAGAGATGTTACTTGGGTAAGGCTATTTAAAAAATCATATTCTAACGTTTGTGAAACATGTTCATCGATAAAAGTATGACATTTTTGTCTTAATTCGTCCATGTCGTGTGCATTGGCCACGTTTAGAAAGAAACAAACATTCGACGAATTCAGAATAACATTGATTTTTTCATATATACTTTTTTCCAGTGTTTTTAATGAATATTCGTTTGCTAGTTCCAATATATCGGATATATGATTTTTATCGAATGATGCAATCACAACTGATCCTGCCACAAATTTAACACCACAATGTATTCGGGATATTTAGTTAAAATGTTGGCTAACTACCTGTATAAATGTAATACACTATTTCTTCAAACGCTTTTGAAGGTACATCAACTAATTTAATCTCGGTCTGAAAACAGTTTATGAATAATAAATTGATAATTTTCCCATAGACATTTGCTTACTTGTTTTGGGTCTTGCATTAAAAGGGTCTCAAAATATTTGCACCTAGCAGCGAGAACAATCTGAAAATTGAAACTTTCCTTAGAAGTTGATCTTTTTCGCAAACGAATGGAAAACTTACTTTGTGCGCATGAATTGTTTTATCGGATAGGATTATCTGAATGTCGGAAAACGTGTCCTTCAAATAATAAGGTGACATATCTTCGTAAATTTTCGAAGAATCAGTAATAATTAGCTTTTGTTGCGGTTCTTCTTCGTTTGCCATTTTGATTGGATAAAGTCTAAAAATGTCAACTAAAAAATATTTTAATAGTGGCAGAAACAAGGTTTCTGTTACAATTGAAACTTGATTACTGATTAGATTTCGATATTTGGTGTTACACTTTCGAACTATCTATGCTGATTAATAGATTTACTATCATGCTGATAAAGAAATACTGTTTTTATCAGATAATGATCTTTATTTATCAACTGCTGTTAAAAATCAGTCTTAGTTCACTACATCTCCTAACAGACCCGTTAAAAACACTGTTTTCATTTTTTGATATAGGTATTTTCATAAATAAACAAAATGTTATGGGTTACTAGAACTATTAAAATCAATCTGATTAATTAGTGTAAAATCTGTTTTATAAATTGCCAATATCTTACGGACACAGATCAATTTAAAAATGTTGTTTTTTTTGACAGGCTTTTATTACCAATTAATAGACGAAATTGTGTGACGGAAATAAATACAAACCTACATTCAATAAAAGTAAAAATGTAGTTGTTCACATACCTTTGGTTTTAACTCATTACTGGGGAGACACACAAAACAAAACAATTTATTATTTTTTTCATAACCGCACATCCACAAACATTTATCACGCGTGTTATGTCTATTAAAATATCTATGAAAGTCTCTCGTTTTGCCATGAACACTTTTTTATTAATAAATCGGGGGTTATTAGATATTCATCTGAATTCATTGTTTTTATTTAAAATCAAACAACTTCATCGCGCAGAACGAAAATGAACTCCCGTAGTTGATTTACTTCCAGCGGCCACTGTTTCAAATGTGACCTGATTCCAGCCAAATACAGGCACTAGAGCCGTGGTTTCCATGGCAACGATCTATACAAAACGTCTAAATGAGTCATGATTTATCCTCCGCTAATGGAGCGAGATAAAAAAATTAGATTTAATAATTTTGACACAAACTTCCGAATAATTTTTTAAATTTTGAAAATTACTATTTTGCTATGTAATAATTGGTACTTTTAAAATAAAAGTATTTGTGCCATTTGTTGTTTTATCGAATATCGAAGCATTCCTTTAATTTACAATCAATTTGAATTAAATTTACACTAAATAACACTTTTTTTAATTTGCTTCCTGATCTACAGTTCTAATAAATCTAATAAAAATAAGTGTCGTACGTATTAAAATATTGTTAACAGTTAAAACACTTCAGGCGTGCACCCATCGTAACCTTCCTCGATCAACATGGTTTTAGTACCTGCCTCTTTTGAACAACTATTAAACCTTGTAACGTAGTTTTCGGGGAACTTGGGATTAGTGCATTCGGATCCAAATAAGTGTATAGCAAATCTGTCTTTACAATCAAACGTGCCATCACAATTGCAATCCTAAAATAAGATGGAAAATGTTATCTGTTTTTTCGTGATATGAAATATGCGTTCAATACCATATGTCCAATGGCATCTGCGTACTGGTCAAGTGTAGCTAAAATGCAGTTTTCATTGCGCATGCATTTTTTGTAACTTTGTTGGGTCTCTGGTTCATCGTCTACGTCAACCACTGGACTATTAGCGGTCTTCCAGTAGTCAAAATTAATTGAGTATTTAGCACAATTGATGCGACTGTAACAACCAGTTCTGGCATGGCAGAGACAGTTGAAACATGTCTGCATATCTGTGCCCATATAACTTTTTATACCTAAAATTAGGAGGATTGTGTGTAGACCATAGAACACGAGAATAATGTCCACTTCACCTAGTGCGATTTTTTTTTCGAATAAAGAAAAATCCTTACCTTTACATGACGCCACAAGAATTACTACAAACACGAAAGTTACGAAAATTTTCATTATGATTCTAAGCTTTGACGCTGTAAGTTACAGTAGATGACCACTGACACAGTCGAATTAAATATGAAATGAAGGTCAAACATTGATAAGTTCTGTTTATAAAATATCGTTCTAACATGTGACAATTATTTATTATCAACAAATTATCTTTTCTACAAAGTAAATACACTGACATTAATGTACGTAACATTTTTATTATTTAAACTACATTTAAACAACGCAATTTTGTTAATTTGTTGATTTCTAGTGATATAGTTCAAGGATAACATTCTGTCAAAGCAACAACCGAATCTAAATAAATAATATTGTTAAGTACGGAATCTCTTGAACTTAAATGTTAAAAAGTGTTGCAACTGTAAATGACGTACACACACATTTCTATTATTTTTCAGCGGCAACACATTTTATACAACATAAAACTTAAAAAAAAAAAATTGTTAATTTTTGATATCGTAGGACAGATGTAGAGGATGCGCCAATGGATTATATAATTTAAAATAATTTTTAAATGTTCCATTTAAAATCTGTTTATCCCTTCCATAAACTTAATGACGTGATCTCAAAATTTTGATGGGTACATTCTATCTAAATTCTACAATATATCCCCTTTTTCATACTCTAGGGGTCATGACACGTCGAGAAATTATGAAAGTGGCCATTTGGCGAATGGAGCATATTACAATATTTCTTCAGCTGGTGATTAGTATACAGGTTGTCTCTTTTATTTGATACAACCCCTGTAACTTTCTTATTCTTTCAGTTCTTTGAGCAAATTTGTATTATTTTAAAGGAACTATGTGATGGCAGCTTCACATTTTTATTATAACTTCCGGTAGAACCGGAAATGACGTCAATTTTATTTTTTTTATGGAACACTGGGTATATTTTTTCATAAATGGAAAGATTGATTTTTTGTAAAAAATCATAAGCAACCAATATTCTAAAATCATACTTAAAAAGTTATTCAATAAAATAGACGAAATATTCATATTTGTTAACGACAATCTAGCAGTTTGAAAAATTGACACTCATGCCATTTATTCACATAAGTGATCTTTTACAATGATACAAATTTGCTCAAAGAACTATATGTTTATCTTTAGAAATAAAAAAAATTTAGGGGTTGTTTCAAATAAAAGAAACACATGGTATAAAAATGACCTTCCAACGAAATAGCCTAAATTATCCAAAAAAAAATTTTACATTGTAGCACTAAATGAGTTGTCAAATCCGCCAAAGATTTTTTTTCAGTGATTCACTGGAAATCGTTCTGGTTGGTATACGATTTAAACATACAGTGTGCCCGTAAAGTCAATCCCTACCGTATAAGTCTTATAACTTTGGAACCGCTGCAGGTACACCATTAAAATTTAAAAACTTACGGATAAAGAGTAAAATAATGCTGATTCCCATCACAGGGACACGCTTAACTTTGTAATGTGAAAACTATGACATATATCCAACTAAAAATTTTAAGAGGCATAGTGGATCGAATGATTCCTTTTTTGAGAGCCGATTTCTTCACATAATATCACAGTTGAAAAAACATCAATGCAAAAAAGAACTCAAGACTTTGCCACGCTACTTTTCAAAATGCGAGCTAATTGGGCAAGGGCCGACTGTTGGCAAAAAAGATTCCGGCTATTGCAGCTCAGGGGCCGTGGGACGTATTACAAAAAAACTCGACCCAGTGCTGACGTCCTTAATGGTCCGCACACCCATACGCACGCAGTCAAACTAAAAAAGAAATTCTGGGCGCCAGGACCCTTATTACAGAATACCGGGTGTCCGGATCCAAAACACCCGTAAAGTCGGCCTACGACTTACCTGACGTGACCTGACCTGACCTGTGATCTGTGAGGCTTTGGGGGTACACTCACGTAACCACAAAAACTATATTGTACTAATATGAGTGTATATTAAAAATAAAATGGTTATTATAATAAATTGAGCAATAAATTTAAATGGCGATATTCCTAGCTCTAGTGAGCACAACTCCACATAAGATTCAGTTGGAATGAATGCCTACAAATACTACGTTTGATCAAACGAGGCTCTTAAAAGTAACTAAACATAGTGACAATCATATTACGCTAACAATTATCTATAGGTAACAAAACCACGTAATAAATAAAATTAAGATAATGGTGATAGCTAATTAATCGAAAGAAGTACAAGTAATGCAGATTTAATACAAATTAAATTAAGATTTAATATGAATGACTTAAGATTTAATATGAGTGGAATTGAGATCTAATACGAGTTAAATAAGATTTAATCCAAGTTAAAATAAGAAGAAAAACATTAAAGTGGTTAAAACAAAAAAAAAACACGACGAAACGACAAGCCGAGAGCGTCCCGCGATAAGCGACATCACGGTGATCCCTTTCTCTCGGGCAGGTGTTTGTTGATTTGCAGCGTGGAGGTGTTGTCCTCGAACGCGTCCTCGTTTTGGTTTTGATTTTGGCACGCTGTGGGAGGAGATTGGGTGGCCTTTTGTTTGTGAATGCCGAGTGTAATGAGAGGGTAGATCACTGCAACCCATTCCTGAGGGGGTGGGCAGGGTTCTCCTCGGTCTTTCTCGGACGTGTGGACCGTGCGTTAGAGGCGAGCGTAGTGCATTTCTCGCTCGAGATATTTTGTTTTAGCTTTTTGGTTTTAGGTTTTGGGTTTTTGGAGGGTGTTAGGAGGAGTTGTTGCTTCCGGTGGAGGTCCGGAGATTGCGGTTGGGAAACGCGGTTTTATGAGCGGTGACGTAGCGAAGGATTTTTCAGTGACGGTCGAGTGCGTAATGGCGCGATGATAACAGCTATTCGCCACGCACGGGGGAAAAATTTTTTCGTCCCCTGGTCTCTGTCGGTCAGTGGCGCTCCGCCCGAAATATTTTAAATTTCATTTCATTTAACTTTTTTTTTGAGGTTGGGTAATGTAGGGTAGGCATGGTTGTCGTATAGCATTATCTTTCTTTTCTTCTTTTTTTTTTGTGGTTGAGGTTTCCATCAATACCGCCTACGTTGTGGTACATAGGGTTCAGTCTCAGCGTTGCTGTGCGTGGAAGGGTTTCTGTTTGCCGAGGCAAATTTATTTATTTTTGAGGAGGGGGCAGTGTCACGGCGTGATTTCGGCACGAGTTAATTGTAGTATTTTTGGCTATTTTAGCGCCTGGCTGCCGCAGCACGCCCTGAGATATTGTTGTGGAGGTTGACTATACTTCCCCCCTGCACGTTGACAGCTCCG